AAAAAAAAGACCAAAATGAAAAAGACAAATCTTTTAAAATGCTGATTGAAAGAATATATCTCATACAAAAAAAAAAAAAAAAAGGCTATAGGCTTTCAAATTAAGTGCAGTTTTTCCTTGTCAGAGAGCATGGGAGATTAGGGGCTTGTGAAACTGGTGCAGATTGTGTATAAAAAAAAAAAAAAAAGAAAAATCCCAGCGTGTGATCAAAGACTGACAGCTCTCAGAGAAAAAGCGCCGAAACTTCCAAAGAAACACAACACCCTCCCTCTCTCCTTCCATCTCTCCTTCACACACCTACGCACACCGTCTTCGCCGGCTCGGGTGACAATAATGGATCCTGGCGGAGTCGCGACAGGAGGCTCCAAACGTTAACAGCTTTGTGTTATGTCATGAATGTCTGATTACCCCGCCGCCGCCTCCCAACATTACACCAATATGGTGCTACTTGACTTTGGGTAAGACATCCCATGTGCTCTGTATGAACGGAGCAGCGTTTACGGCGAGGATGAGGGGAACCGACCGTAAGGCGGAGGGTTGTGTGCACGAGTACAAGAAGGTCGTGTGTTTTATTTATGCGCGGCTCGCTACATGAGAAACGTTTTACATTTAAAGGGTGTGCTGAATAATCGCTCTAAGTGAAGCCTGTCAAGTTTCTGTCACATTCAAGAGGAGCAGCTTCGAACAACGGATTTCCAGTCCGACAAAAAAACAAAAAAAATCATATGTAAAGGCATGATTCTGCTCAGTTTACAGCATGTTGAAAATTAAATAACTTCGAACGGCGTTGCGGAGATGCGGGATGGCTGGTTTGCGAAGTGAAGAAACAGCAATATTATTTATTTCTATGAATCTCTATGTGTGTTTTAAATGTTTCTAGTATCGTCTCTAAGATTCACATTGCACAGGAAGCTATGGAGATGTTCAGTGGATCCACATTTGTAAAGGTGCAGGAACCCTTTGCAAATAACCCGATGGCCCTGCTGCTTTTGTGTGTTTATATAGAATAACATGAACCGATATGGAAAGCCTTGAGCTCAGTACAGAGTCGTTTCATAGTTGTCTCGCCGAGATTTTAGATGCTAACTGCGGGAATGTCCAGACGTTGCAATCCTGCTGCCTTTAAGAGGTGCGATCGAAAGGTTCTGTTGGTGGGTGTGTATGAAGGGGCTCATGAGCAGAGGCGGCGTGACATCATGTTGTCAACACCAATGGGTGCGTCTGCAGCTACCACTCAGAGAAGAAACAGCAGAAGAGCTACATTTTGTACCAGACGTGGTTTTTTCATTCCTTCAGCGTTCACGTGGCTGTGCGCCGGAAATGAAGCAACCTTGAGGGTGAACATTTGGTACAAACAGCCTCAACTGTTGCACTAATGCGAGGCCAGGTGGATTCCACTTCGGTCTTCTGGCCACGACAACACGACTCCTCGACTCCCCCACTCGCTAGATTTGGCTCTGTCCGACTTCTTCCTCTTCCCAAAAATAAAATCAAGTTGAAGGGTCGTCGTGTCATTTTGACGCCGTTCAGGAGATTCAGTGCCAATCGCAGATGGCTCTTCCCATAATGGGGACCTCAAGGGAGCGTTACAAGCAGGAAGCGCTGTACGGCTGCACAACGTCTTTGACTGGGATGTTAAAGTTAAACCTGGTGAAGTGTTTGTAAAGATAAAACTTTTCGATGGCACCTCGTGTTCTCCAGCAGGAAGCAAAAACACCAGCATGAAATCCCACTGCAAGTTTCCATGTGACATCTTTCTGTACTTCTGAAAGCAGGAGAGGAAATGAGTGGAGACAACAAAAACAAACTAGTCTGTACCTTAACTAATTAAGGCACATTTGAAAATGTGGATGTGGAAAGCTCAAACTCAACCCTGTGAAGCATCGTTTCTATTTCATAAATTTGGCTTCAGTCGACGATTTCTGATTTGGACTGCAACTGTTTGTTGTATTCTCTCTGTATGTGTTACTGATGTGTGTGCGCAGTGGATCTCCGTGTGTTAATGCGTGTTCTGAGGTAGTCCTACGTTCTGATAGGTGGCGTAGTTAATAGATAAGACACGGCAATTCATACACAGACAGCTCCGAGGGGAAAAAAAAACCTAACAAGCGGGAACAAGTAGCTTTCTCAGTCCTGATGGCTTCCTTTGATGTTGATCTGCGTATGTGAGTCTCCTGACCTGCAGCCTTTCTACCACTGTTTGCCTTACGCTCACTCAAACGATTCTGCAGCGTGGGCGGGAGGACGGGATAACGGGGGGGACCGAGTCGGTGTGTGGTTTGTGGAAGTAGTCGGAGACATGCTTCCCCTCACACACTTGACAATCTCTCTCGCTGTAAAGTCCGAGTGTGTCATGAAGGGAAAAACAGTCCCTCCTGGCATGAAGCAGAAAAAAACCCCCCAAAAAACAGGAGAGGTCATGTTCCTTCAGGTTGGGCTGCAACTGGGAGAAAGGGTTCAGATATGTAAACCATCTAGTGCAATGCCCTTTTGCCGTCTTTCTTTTTCTTTGCAAACTGGAGGGGGAGGAAAAAAAAGGTCACATTTTTGCCTCGGGGAACGAAAAGCAATGTATTGCCATGGTGCTGGTCATAACTATAAGCAGAAGGGAACATTTTTCTGAGCCAGACCTGACCCCAGGCGCTGCTGAGCAACAGCTCGTGGTCCTGCATCGGGCCCGAGGTCGGTTCTCTGAGGCGACAGCTTGAGCGATCCAAAAAAACAAAAAAAGTTTTCAAGGATAAAGAACAGGGATTCTGCACTGGAGTGCACGTTTCAGAGCTGATCAGAGAAAAAAATAATTAAAAAAAAAAAAGGCTCCACATCAACATGTTAGAATGCTACACCGCACGTCCTCTCAGTCATTGGTTGATTCGAATCTCTTAGTAGCTGAAAGGCCCACTGGGCAATATGAGAAAGGGAGGTTAAGAAAAGGAAATGTCACTTCCATTGGAGGACGAGAGGCCTCCGAGTTCAGCAGACGACTGTGGGGAGGAAAGAAGGAACAGAGGGAGGAGGAAGGAGAGCAGGGAGAGCTGCAGAGAGCCACGCTTATCATCTCTTGTAGTGGTTGGGCGCGTCGGCAAAGGCGAACTTCAACCTGTAGGCTTCGGCCAGTAGCACGCTCACTTCCTCGTTGCCCCAGTGCATTGTGGGAAGGTTCTGCAACAGGATCATCAAGCCCTGGAGGAAGAAAGAAAAAAACGTTTAGAGGAAAGACAAAGAAATGAAAACAGAAGGAGAAATTTTAAATCAGGGATTTTAAAAAAAAAAGGACAGAAAATACTGAGCAGAACGTTTGGGAGGAAAGAAAAATATTGATGCAAGAAGACAAAGATAAATCTGCAGATGATCGATATCAAAGAAGGGAGGAGAAGGACATCAGGGAAGAAAATGGGAAACCACACTCTGTAGGCAGCGGGTGATGAATTTTTATACTGTTGAGTATTACGTCTAGACAAAAGTAGACAATTTTCAAAGCGAGCAGCGTGGTTTTGGTTCAGGATCAGGCTCTTACATTGATTCATCTGTATCTGACAAAGAACCAATTTAGCTGTGAGGCGTTGTACTTTCCTCAAAGTAATAAAGTATAACAAACGGGAGTGGAAGCACTACTTCAGTCGAACACAAAGACGGCGCACAGGTAGCAAACCGAGGACCGCGAGAGAGGAAAGAGTCCCTGAAAAAAAAAGTGCAGAACTTTGAAATCCATTATGATTTAATTATACTCAGCAAAAGGAAACTTTCTGGATCTCACACTGGATTTATGCCTGATGCAAAGGGTAGACAGGAAACCCTGTGATTTATAGTCCAGCATCATTTTTCTCTCCTGCTGATAGCGCAGCAGCACCAGACAGATGAATCACCGGAATAAGTTTGTTTACGTTCTTCCAGTCAGTTTGTAATACAAAGTGTCAGCAGGCAACACATGTACTTATCGAGATCTCACGTATTGACACTCGGCGTGGAACTGGAGGGTTATATGAATAAGCAAAACGGCACTCATCAGGCCACATTAGCCATGCTGTGCTAACTAGCTATTACAGAAGGGCACATTAGGGTGACAGGTAAAAATACTGCTACTTATGTGCAGAGCTTTTGGCAATAATTTAAAATAATCCCTCACTGCCCATTTCCTCTGAGGAGATCCGTTCAGAATAAACAGGTACCTCACAGTCCATCAGGTTTGTTTACTTTGTGTCCCTGCAAACTCTAAAATGTCTCAGCCACGAGCAGCTTCTTTGCTAGCTGCAAGAGTGAACACAAGAACCTTCACGTACTCTCAGCATTCGAAGAACTAAAGATCCAGAGGATTATTTGGCCTTTTTTGGCTTTTCTGGATAGGACAGAGAGAGGGAGAAGAATGGGGGGAAAGACCTGCAGCAAAGGGTCATGAGCGGGATTCGAACTCACGACTGTAAGCCCCTCTACGCCAGCTCAACTAGGTGAGCTGTAGCGGCGCCCAGATTATTTTCATTTTTGATGGCGTTGACGTTATACAGCAATAGGAGCATTCTTAGTGTTAGCATGCCATGTGGCTAAAGAGGCTAAAATTACAATTAGCATTTATCGTACTCCCACAGTTTAGAGTTCTGTGGAAACAATGAGAAACATCCAGAGATGGTGGAAGCTTTAAGAGCGATTTGAAGCCAATAAACAAGGATAGCCGAGAATCGCTGGAAAGTACCAGAATTTTTTTGACTTGACTGTTGGTGGCAGCCGAGTTACTCCTGGTTTCATAGTTGTGTGAAGGACTGCAGGATTTTTTTGTTTTTCACAGAATCTGATGATTGCAACTGGTTGATTCTTGGCATTTAAAAAAAAATACTTAAACATGTGCAGTGCAGTGATTCTGATAACCTGCTTTAAAGCTTAGATTTACCCAATAAATCAAAAGTAGTGCGTGATAAGTTCAAGGACTGCTGGAAAATCTTAGGATTCTTTTCAGTTCCAGGCTCTGATAAATGATACGATACGGGGGTTTGTTTATTTATTTATTTATTTATTTTGAAGATAACATACCGCTCAAAGCCACCAGCAGATTTCTGGGTTCGGAAAGCTCAGATCAAGTATAAGCGGAACCCAGAAGCAATTTTTAACTTGGAAAAATACAAAAAAAACCCCCCAAACCATGTGAAACTATCTAAACGCATCTACAGCACAAAACATCATTACAGGCTCCACTTGATGGAGGGCTTTGGTGTCTATAACGCACGAGTGTAACGGCAGCGTAGCAGACGGGCACAGCGACGCTCGACTTCTGCCTCTGCTTGTGTGTTTGAGCGCGACACAGATGTTGTTAACTCAGTCAAAGTGGTTTAGCAACAGCTGCGAGAAAAAAAAAAAAAAGACAAAGAGGGTAAAAAAAAAAATAAAGTGTCAAGTAGAATCTCAGCAGGGCTTGAGCCTTTCCCCCCAGATTCCTGTTCTGTACATTATTTGGCGAGTAAGAAGACCGACGACAGCGACACACACACACACACCCCATCCACACACACACACACACACCGACACACACACACACACCCCATCCACACACACACACACACACGAGTTCAATCTCGCCAACTAATGCCTCTCTCTCGAAGGGGAATGAGGCTGGTTAGCGGTGAGACAGACTGATTGTGTGTGTTTGGACGTGCATGCTACGGATCAGCGTCCCAGGAGCTTTCATCATCAAGGCTGAAATCATTGCCGTGACAACAGGGTTTACAACCAATCACGGTGTTGATAATCACATCGAAGGACAAATCACGTCGGGGGCTGCGGTGTCGACACTCATCTGACTCCCGAGCAGTTCGCTGCTGTCTGAGAGGATGTGACCCTGTTACACAAACTGGAGCACTTGAACCTGATTACGACGCGGCTTAAACCGTTGGATCAGAAGAAGTTTTTACGCTGCCGTCTTTCAACAAAAGTCAAAGCACACAAAACTTTAATTGAATATATATGTATGTATATTAGAGCGAGGCAGTCTGTATTAGTTTACCCTCCTACGTAATAAATTGAAGGTGTTTGGCTCCATTAATTTTTTCCTTCCTTGCTTGTTTTTAATGAGCCAGTGAGATGACCCCGGTGACTTTTCAACAAAAAAAGCATTTGTATTCCAAGTGAGGGTGGAAAAGTACACATTTTCTTCAACTAATTAAGCTCAAAGCTGCCATCCTGGCCAGATTTTTTTACAGATCGGGCTGCAGCTTTTTCGCTTTCACTCCACTCCTCTGAATAACTGAATATCAGCTGAATATCAGTTTTGACACGAAACCGAATTTGAAATGTGCTGCTTTTTTTTCTCTCTCTCCGCTAAAGTAAGAGGGTAGCTGGTAATTACTTTATTGATCAAGTCTTATGAGCCTTAGGCCCTTAAAATGTGCTAAAAATGCTGTTGGAGTGCTTTGAAAAAACAAAAAACAAAGAAAAATAAATTACAGGTTGTGAGAGAGCGTTGATCAAAATGCTAACGAACTCCAGTGCTGTCAAACATAAAACAGGATTTTCAGTTCGCGACGAGATTACTGCTCCGCACCATCAAAATTCGGCCCCTTGCTAATTTTACATCTAAAAAATATATATATATATTACAGTAGATGCTCATTTGAGAAGAAGGCCCGGGTGTTGACTTTGAAAGGTTGACCTAGTGACTTCACCCTCGCTTCAGAAAGATGAATCCCTCTGAAGTATTTTCACTCAGAGGGAGGGAGGGAGCGCGAGAGAGGAAGGAAGGAAGGTTGATCAGAATTCTGCTTGCCTTTTCTCTCATCTGTATTCAATAGAGCATCGCCATCAGCTCTCTCCCCTTTCATCACTCAACCCTCTCTCCTGCATTCACACGTTGAAAAATCCACCAAATTTGCTCACAGCTAACGGACCGCGCGGGCTTCATGTTATGCCGGCTCACGTAAGAGCGGCGCTCAAAATAAATAAATAAAATTAAAATGTTTGAACTGCGGACGCCCCGCCGGATGGGGAATCGGGGCTGTTTAAAGCCGAGCGTAAACCATCAATAACTGGTAGCGATTTTTAAACGGAACAAAGACGGAGGAGAGGGAATTCATTATTTAATAAACAAAGGGGTGGAGGGAAGAAGAAAAAAAAGAGGAGGCGACTTGACAATTAATACTGCAGCTAAGTCGATGTATCTGCAGTGTGAACATGTGTATCGTAAGTATTCTGTGCATCAGCCCCAGTGGTCTTTGGATGCCTGGGGCTAGACACCATGTACCTCCCCTACTGTACTTCACTGCCCCGGGCTCTTCAAGAAAAAGCAGCGCTCCCTGCGGAATAACAACACAGTATCCTGGGTACATTATGTTCAGTGAACCAGAACCGGATAATTGAGATGCTGCTGATGTTGTCGGGTTAAACCAAAAACCTTTCATCCTCGCCGAAGAGGCCACGAGATGCAAAACCGGCTCAAATGTAAGACAAATATTTAAGCTTGGAAATGAATCGTGTTAGTCAATCTGCTGCAGAGAGCGGCTGGTTGATTGTAGCATTAATGTTAGCTCGTGTGTTTTTTTTAGCTTAGCATGCAGAGGATCTGTTTCACCGCCACAGAGGGAAAATAAATTCATGAATAAGTTTCGCAGTGTGTCCCCAACATCTATACAGCAGAAATGAACCGGGGGAGAAAATCTGTTAAATAGCCAAGAATTACGGCTGTCACGGATGATGGGCTCAAAAAAAAAAAAAAAAAAAAGTCTGAGAAATGCTGTCGGAAGGGAAATAAATAAATAAACGAATCAAAAAATATTAACCACTTCCAAGAGCCTGACAGGAGAGTATGTGAGTGACAGACAAGCCGCACGAAATGTGTTTTTTTTAACGTATTATCGTATTTCATGCTTCGCTTATGAGTGAAAAAAAAATTCTTCCGCGATGAGCACGAGCTGTTCTATATCTGGGCCAATGTGGTATTACTGACAATGACAGGTATGTAAATGAAAAAAATAAAAATCATCTGAAGTCACCCTTCACTCAAAAAAATGGTTGTTTTTTTTACTTCACATGGATGTTTGACCATCAGTGTGTAGGATGAGCACACATACAGGACAGCTGCTGGCACATGGATCTGCATTTAAAACGAGTTGGTGAAGAATCATCATAACTTGAAACAAAGGATGGTGTGTAAGAAGAGAGACAAGTTAATATATGGATATATTTGCATATTCCCTGGTAGTCTT